CCCTGGGGAGCACTGATCCACCTGACTAATCTGAGAGAAACTCAAGACAGATGTGGTTTGGGGATAAAGACGACCCCATGGAACAAAAAAAAAAGAAAGGAAAAAGAAAAAAAAAAAAAAACCCTGCTGCACTGTCTTTGGAGTTAGAGAATAGATATAGTTTATAGCAGAGAGTGTCAGGCGCACATTGTGTGTGATATTGGATAAAAGCCGGCATGCTGACTTGTAGAGAAGCTGTGTACAGAAGTGTTTTTGCTGGTTCCCTTTTTGTGGTTTATGAAACTACCTCTGTTTTTATGTGGGAGGCAGAAGACTATTTTCTGGCAGTGCTTTTTAGAGAATCATTTTAAGATAGCTTGAAGGACATGAAACAGATGATGTTAGGTAGCTCCTGATGACCTCTGCTGGCCTGGGCAGATCATCAGAAATTGGTCTACTTTTTTCCCAAGTTGATTTTATCAAACCTCCAAACATGATTTAGGACATCATTTTTCTTTTCTTTCTTTTTGAGAGATAGTCTCTTCTACCCAGGCTGGAGTGCAGTGGTACAATCATGGCTCACTGCAGTCTTGAACTCCTGGGCTCAAGTAATCCTCCTGCCTCAGCCTCCTGTGTAGCTGGGACTACAGGTATAGGTTACCATGCTCAGCTGATTATTTACAAAAATTTTTTGGAGAGACAGGTTCTTACTATGTTGCCCAAGTAGGTCTCAAAACTCTGGGCTTCAAGTGATCCTCCCACCTTTGCCTCCCAAAGTGTTGGGATTACAGGCATGAGCCTCTGAGCCTGACCAATATACTATTTTCTACATAGAGTTAATGAATAAGAGCATTCTAAGCCCCTTCCAACCTTAACAAAATTTGACTATATTTAGGTTGCTCCTTTATGTTCCATAATTATCTGTTCTTTCAGCCACTCTGACCATTGTAGTTCCTTTGCCATGGCAAAGTTTGATGTTTAATTTTCTTTAGATAAAATAATTTGTATTTACACATTGATTGGTCAGTGTGAGTTAGACTTGATGTTATTTTTATTACAGTGGCATAAACACGCTGTTAATTAAACAGAAAATTCAGCATCATAGGTCTTAAATGCTTGGCTTCAAACCATTATACCTGAACAAATACAGTGGGTACAGAACAGAAAAATGCATCCCCTGCCCGCCTGCCACACACACACACACACACACACACACACACACACACACAAGCTGATCTGCACATTTAGAATATAAGCTATTGTATGGTATAAATTTTTTCCCCAATTTGAGCCACAAGGGCTACGTGGCTATATATATGATTCCCAATACAGGGGGATTTCAGATTTGTTACACTACTATGCTTCACTTCAACTTCATTTTTAATGCCACTAATCAAAATATATTCATTGAAAAATCTGAGGATGTTCAAGTTCCTTAGGTAGTATATCCTGGTATTTGCATATAACCCATGCACATCCTCCCACATATTTCATGTAATCTCTGGATTCCTTATCACACCTAATACAATGTAAATGCTGTGTGACTAGTTGTTATCCTGTTTGCTTATTGTATTGCTATTTAAAAAAAAACATTATTAATTTGAGGTTGGCTGAGTCTGTGGTTGGTTGAATCCGCAGATGTGTGGATGTGAAACCTATAGATAGTGGTGGTTGACTATATGTACTCCTCAAGTTTAAGGAAAAAATAGTGACAACCTTATATGAATGTTTAAATTCTAAATTTAAAAATGTTGCTTTCTGCATTTTCTCTTTAAATGTGTATCTTTTAAGTACAAAAAAAATATTTAGATGCCACTGACTGTTTACAATTAGTTTCAGTTAAATAGTGTTATTCTATAAATTCAGGTATACATATACTGTGTATATATATATATATATATGTATATATATATATATACCCTGGAAGCACCAATGCATTTATAAATCTTTACTGTGAACAGAAGAGGCTAAGAAGTCATTTATGTATCATCTTTAGCCTCTCTCTTGCCTATGCAGAGGAGAAAAGGGAATATGTTGAAGATTGTTGAAAAGATTGTTTAAGATGGAAGAAGAGAAAATTTTCCAGTCTTTATTGGAGAATCCAAACACTAGATCCAACTCTTGTATTGTTCTTTGCCTAAAAGTTCCTGTGTAAGCTCTTCTTTATTAACAAAAAATTACATTAACTATCACCATATCCAATAAACCTTCTCTTAACTCACATCATATACACAGGTATAACAAAAAAGTATATTGCACAAAATATATATAATAAAATGTGGATACATCCCATTTATCTCATCTTTCTAATCTCTTCACCACACTGCAACCAAAATGACTATATCACTCCTTTCTTAAAATACTTTAGTGATTAGGAATCATTATTAGAATAAATGTGTAGATTATCACACATGCTGTATAAGGGACTGAATGGTATGCCCTCTTAGTAGCTCTCCAGCCTCATCTAATACTCTATTCCTGTTTATTTTCCTTGCTCAAGTTTCACTGACTTCTTTCAATTTCTGGAACAAACCAAACTGCCCCCACCCCCAACACACACACACGCACACGCACACGACCTTTACCCATAGTGTTTTCTCCTTTGGAAAAATTCCTTGACCACCAACCACCCTCTTGCAACCCTTTCTTCAGTTGTAGTTTTTTTGTCATTGCAGCTTCACATTTTCTGGAAAGCTCCTTCAAACCATACTCGCAACTCTTTGCCTAGTTAATTCCTATTCACCTTTCTGTTAATTTGTTGACTTTTTAAGTTACTTTCCCTGAACTTAGGCACCCAAATTTGGTTAAACTCCCACAAAATATTTGTCTTATTTATAATCCCTATGTACTTGTAGTTTACAATTTACATGTTTGATTACATGATTAAGGTGTCTCTTGGATTTCTTTTTCTTTTCTTTTTTTTTTTTTTCTTTGAGATGGAGTCTTACTCTGTCACCCAGGCTGGAGTGCAGTGGTGTGTCCTTGGCTCACTGCAATCTCTGCCTCCTGAGCTCAAGTGATTCTTCTGTCTCAGCCTCCCAAGTAGCTGGGATTACAGGTACCTACCATTACCCCCAGCTAATTTTTATAGTTTTAGTAGAGACAGGGTCTCACCATGTTGGCCAAACCAGTCTCAAACTCCTGACCTCAGGCGATCCACCTGCCTTGGCCTCCCAAAATGCTGGGATTACAGGCATGAGTCACTGTACCTGACCTGTTTCTTCAAATTTTGAACTACAAACTGCCTAAGAGTAGGGACTGTGTCTGCTTTTACTTGCCAGGCTGTCTTTAGTTCTGGATATAGTACCTGACACATAGTTGCAATTCAGAAAATATGTATTGAATTAAAAATCCATTCAATATTTAAATTTAAAAAATCTCATTCTTGTATTTTCTCATTCCTGTATATATTAACAAATGCATTACTTAAGCCTTTGTTCTTAAGATATCTTATGATTCTTTTTGGGAACCTACTTTTGTATTTTAGAGATTCTGTACCAAGAAATTCTTCCTTTCACCATGGTGAAATTCCCATTGCTGAAGTAAAAGTCTATTTTCTTTTAACAAATTTCAGGATCTAGAAAGAGTAGCTGGTCACTAGCCTTGGTACAGCATTTGTTTTCTTATCAGTGGAATACACTTTCTAACAACTTTATTTTTCTTTTTATTTTGATTTTAGGCCATCTTTCAGCTCAGTAAATCTAAGGATATAAGGGATACTGGCAACTTCCTTTTTTTTTTTTTTAAGGATACCAGTTGACCTTAAGAATCCCATGATAGCCCTAAATGTGGTAGCTTCTCTGTTGACGTCAGTCTTACCCTTCAAAAATCATATACTAACAACAGCTAGCCTGCATCCTCTGAAGCTTCTCTTTCTCCTTTGGGCCACTTGAAAAATAAGGCCACTGATAATTAAAATATTTTTGCAGATCATACTGGCGCTTTCTTAGTAGGAATGAGGGGGTTTCATAAGGAGGTTGGAAGTCTCTCCTGCACACACAAAAATTGGCAATCTTTGTCCCCTTTGACAGCTGGTGGCATTTTTCTGAAAAGCTTTCAAATCACAGATCATTTCTTCATAATGAAATCCGTGTGGCTCAGATACTGTGGGTTGAAATTCTTATCTTATGCTGCTGTAAAATGCTCTAATTTAGATTCACAAAAGGATTCTGTACCCTTTACTTAGGAGAGCTGTGCAATTTGCCCATAAAAAACTGTTCAGCACCATTAGTGCATACCATAAGTGTTCAGCGACATCATATTCATTAAACAGGATATCCTTATGCATAACCTTTTCAACCTTGAATGTGTTTTTTCCCTTTGAAGAATGACAAATGACAAAGGGGTGATGGAGCGCCCCAAGCAACACTGTTGCCTTTACTGATGAACTTAGGAATTTCAGCTTGATCCTTTCTCAGGAAAAAAAAGAATCACATTCAATCTTTTCTCACTGGAGGCAGTTTTAATTCTCTCTGTAGAATTTTCTCTATGGCCAAGAGATTGATTCCTTCAATCTCTTGTCACTTCAATGACAGATCTTTGTACAATAGAAACTTTACTGAGGGCAAGGATCAGAAACTTCCTCAAGTAACTTTAATTAAGCATCTACTATGTCTTAGGTACTGTTAGTTGCTGAACTTAGAGTTGATTATAGAATATTAATATAATCTATAGTTTCTGATCTTTTGTATTAAATATCATGGATTTCCTAGCTTGATCAGATAGACTGGGGGCAAAAAGGAGAGAATGGGGTAGGTCTGCTTTTTTTTAGATCAAGAGAGGAGAGTGAGTGAGAATTTTGCTAGTGACAATACTTTTTATTGGCAACAACAGTGAGGAACCTAGCATTCATTCCACTGCTGTAATTACTCTGTGGTGTTTCTGCACCCACAATGGCCTCCAGTCATTGTCCCAGATCTTTAAATGTCTTAGGATAGTCCCTTTCTAAATTCTGCTCTTCTTTCCCTGATTCGTCCAGGTATTTCTCAAGCTTGTGAGATCTCTTCTTGCTTCCATTTTAGGTACACCTGAGAGCCTGGCAGAAAAAGAACGGCAGCTCTCCACCATGATTACCCAGCTGATCAGTTTACGGGAGCAGCTTCTGGCAGCACATGATGAACAGAAAAAACTGGCAGCCTCACAAATTGAGAAACAACGGCAGCAAATGGACCTTGCTCGCCAACAGCAAGAACAGGTGAGCCCTGCAAAAGGCGCTGACGAACTGGAGATGTGGAATGTGCCAGGCTCAGAGAGTAATCACATTGATTGGCTTATTTGTTGTAAGCTTTCCTAAAAAATAAAAATAAAAAATAAGAAGAAAATAAGGAAAAAAAAAAAAAAAAAAACAAAAAAAAAAAAAAAAAAAAAAAAAAAAAGAAAAAAAAATGGAAAAAAAAAAAAAAACCACCAACAACAACCAAATAAGCCTTCTGGAAATGCAGGGTCTTCAAGAATACTAAGGGAATATGTGGACGAAGAAAGGCATCATAGCAGTTGGGCATAACTAAAACGATACATTGTTTCAGGTTTGGATTTGATTAATGACTCAGGTATACTTACTCAGATAGACATCACATGTAATGCCTCTGTACCTTCACTGTGAGTAAGTGACTTTTCTAAGGGCCTTATTTTCCTCATCCAGAAGAAGGGGATTCTGTTCCAGAAAAAACTTTGGGAATCTTTAAGCTCATTGGTCCAATGATTTTCTTCAGGTTTAAAGCCCAATGAGGTGACCATACATTTCAGTTTTCCCCATATAGCCCTGGTTAGTGCCTGTTTTCTACAGTAATAATACCCTGCCTTCTTCTACTTGTGAAAGTTGTCTTGGTTTGTATGACACATCTTATGGTCACTATTTATAGCATCGGTAAGTCATTGAATACAAATTAATACATGGTTCCTAAAAGCATGTGACTTGATGACTTAGAAGTGAGAATGAAGGAAAAATAGCAAAATTTGAATGTTTATCTTTTAAAAGTAAATCACTTTCCCAAATGTTTTTTTCTTGTCTCCTAAGAGTACATTAATTTAACAATGATCCTATAGAGTAGTACCTGATGCTTTAGATTAGATGTATCCAAATTAATTTGCAGTTTTTAGGAATCTGACATTATTACTGGAATTATCTTTTCAGTTAAATCTATTTTATAGGAGTATATAGAGCAATATATGCTCTGTTGATTTTAATGAGTTGTGATGTCTGCTGTTTTATATGCTTGAATATTTGCCCACATGTAGGAATATGGACTCAGCCCCTAATGGAAAATAACATAAAGGAACACTGTAAAAAATCAGAAGTTAGAATGTCATTTAGCCATCCAGAGATGACACAGTAATTAACTATTGACACTTGTGAATAAGCTAGCACAAATTAATCTTGACACATTTGCAGACGAGTGATATCTTACAGTGAACACTTTGTAATTATATTTCAAAATGAAAATTAAATGACACTTAAAACTAGGTTGTCATGCTCAATGAAGCGAGCATGTAGCTCAGCCGATTGGCAAATAAAATTCAGAATTTGAGCCACATGGTGCTTATGTACCATACTTCACTGTGTCAAACCCATACGTCTAGAGTGGATGATAGTAATTGCACTGTGGTGTTTTGGATGCATTTCTATGCAGCACTTTATCATTTAGGAGGGACCATCAATATTAGATGCCTAGTGGTGTTTCACTGGTTTGCTAAGAGGAAATAAATATTCAGAGGATCCAGCATCGATACCTAGAGCTGCAGAGTGAGTTGTACATTTCTGATTTGAATATCCACAAGCAGAGTGGGCCATTCAAACCTGATTAAATACTATTTCCATTTTAAGTATAAAGCTCTGGGAAAGAGTAGTCCCCATTTCTCACACTGTAGCCTACATTAGGTGTAACTTTACCATGGCTTCCAGTATGAACCAGTTGTCATCAGAAATCACAAAGCAAGATTTGGAAGCAGACTTCTATGTTGAATAAAATATAATTTGGGCACTCCCTCTCCAGCCTCTGCGTAAGCTAGAACATCAAAAAGGCTTGGGAAGTATATAGCTGGGAACTGATCTACGCTCATTTTCACTTCCCACATAATGCATTCTAGAATACTGGCTTTTGGAAGTAGGAAGAACTAGGAAAAAAAGACACTTTTGACAAAAAGTCACCACTAAACGAAGTCCTTCTAAGTATTCTCTGGCTGCTTTTCTCTCTGGCTTCCTAGGATGGCAGTGAGTCTGTTCTCACTAAGGATCATCTCCCTGGATTTCAAGCTGTAGCATCTCAGCTTTTGAGTCAGTAAGCAGCCTGATACCTGACTCATACTTCACAGTAAACACTGTTATCCGAAGGAAGCTGTTTGACCACCCGAGAGCTAGAGTCAGTCATCAGTAGGGCTTGCATTAAATGGTTAACATTTCTCATTATAGAGCAGATAATTTGTTTAGATGTTGCATTTGATTGTTGGGTGAAACAAGGAAATATAAAACTTGTATATGGATCCTGCATTGTAATATAAACACATTGTCCTCAAAAGGATAAATGGGTAAATGTTAAATTACAGCTTAATTTGTTTTTAATATTTTGTGCATCACATACAGCATCAACAACAACAACAAAAAAAGCTAAAGATTTTTTACTTTTTGCTGTGTTCTTTGGCACTCCTTTGACAGTATTTGTAAATGTATCAGTTCTGAAAGTCTTTGTATCAGGAAAGGTTTTGCTGACGTAGACCATATTAAACATTAATAGAAAGCTTTTTCCTGTCTTTGCTTACAGATTTTACTTTTTACATCCATATTAAGCCATTTAGAAAAATGCAGCCAGAGATTGTCTATCTATATTCTACCAGGATTAAATTTCTAAATTCCCATGATTTCTGGCTGACCTATGCAGATATAGGTGAATAGCTCACAAATGTAATTGAAGGGGTAGTTTTCCTACAGATAAAGCAGAGAGATAGCACTTGTTTAAAAATTCTTCCTTTCATCCATCTTTCTGATTTGACCTCTCTCATTTTGTAGGAACTCTTTCACATAGAGGTGCAGTAAAACATTGCTGTAATACCAGGAGAAATACCTGAGGTAATGGCAGAGGTGTAAGCATTTCATTTTAACGTAATGAAACTTTATTTCTGATAGATTGCAAGACAACAGCAGCAACTTCTGCAACAGCAGCACAAAATTAATCTCCTGCAGCAACAGATCCAGGTCAGTGTATTTTATTACTCTCATCTGATTATACTTAGATACTTTCCTCCTTGAAAATGAAATTTAAAACTCTGCAGATGTACCCCTGTCTTATAAACAGCACCAATAGGGCTGTTTTCAAGGATGTTGTACACAACTCTGTAAGTGAATGTAAGAAATATGGACTAGGTGTTGGTCTAAGCATTCTTCTCTGATGTGATGTGTAAGCAAAATAACCCTTATCTTTTTTTCTTTTTTCCATTTGCATAACACTACCTAGTGGGAACCTAATGGTTTCCCAGGTAGTATACAGATGCTATTTTTATTACCACTGACCACTTTCTGTTTTATACTTTACCATGTCATGGTACTGTAGAGAGAAGCTTACTTTTGATTTACTTGTTAGGACTAATTGGTCCAATTATGAGAAAAATTTGGAAAAAGGCTGTTAATAATTTGGAAAAAGGCTGTTAAAAATCTGGAAAAAAACTATTAATAATCTTTAGCAAATATTAACTGCATTCCTTCTAGATGCTGAAGGGAATAGAGAGATTAATGAGTGATAGTTTGTCTTCAAGGAGCTTACAGTATATAAAGGAAGAAAAACTTGTTCCTAAATAATTACTAATTATTATTCATTTTTTACATTGCCATAAGAAACAGGGATTCTTATGGCAATGTACAAATATATAGATCATAATTACAGTGGTCTGGGGAAGAAGGGTGATGGTCTGATTTCTGTCATTCTTTTAGATACTTGATAGTTAATTCAATGAACAGCTATTTGAGATAGGCAAGGAAAATGGTCTCCATTTCCAAATAGGAGTATAGTTTTGTGACTTCGAGAAAGCCCTAGAATAAGTAACTGGCTATCTAGTGATTAATTCTCAGAAATACTATTCACAGAGTTATCCATATCCTACCACAGACTCTTGTTTCCCTTGATTATTAGAGAACCTGCTGGAATCTATGATTCAAACTAGTTGGGCCAGCATATTCTGAATTATATTATCACTTTTCTTGAGGTTAATATCATGCTCTCCCATAGTTTTTTTAAATATCAGTAGCATGAAGTCATAGTTTACTGCAATATTCTACCTCATTGACGAATAACAATGATTTTACCTTCGATCTTTGCTTCATTTTTGTTTATTATACTTAGTGTACCAGGTAGTTACTGCACTTAAAATACTAATTTGGTATTGGAAGCAGTTCCTTTACCTAATTGGCATTTTTGTCCAGCTATTTTCAGTAAGAAGCCTTGGCCAACATTTTTGTTGGTTTTTGTCCTATTCAATATTCCATATTCAACTACACATGTTGCAAAATAAAAAGTCCAAATATAGATGAGTTGGAATGTCTTTAGCATTTTTGACAGCCAGCCTTTACAGTTACATCTTAGAATAGTTTCTCATCCTGATATCTCCTTTATGGCTCATGCTGAGATCCTTAATTAAATAACTGTCCAGATGTTCTCTTGTTCTGCCCTTATTAGAATTTTCAGTATCTCCTACTGCTCAGGTCAAGATTTCTAGCCTGTGGCTTCCTACATTTTTCTGTAGATCCCTCTGTAAGAACTCAGTAGGTGTTAAATACCATGACCATTTAGTTCTCTCTGTTTCTCCTATTTGTAAAGCAGAAATGGAGGAAGTTCCCTGAGGTGTTCGTATATCAGTTAATTATTGTTTTTACTACTGCTTTATAGCTTACTTGTTTATTCTTTTCTAATATATTTTACTTCTTAGTACAGTGCTGTTTGTACTGACTGGTTGTCTTCACTGATGTTTTCCTGTGGCACTGGGAACTTCAGGTGAATAGCAGCCAAATCAGTTTAGAATATTTTCACGAAATATTTTTAGTATGTATTGCTTATATATGATTTTATAGTTAAAAATTGACTACATATGTTTCAGAAAACTATAGAACATGATCTTAAAATATTCATTGGAATGAACATTTGGAAACATCAATTTGAGAAGATAGGAGTAATTTTTTTCAAGTTTTCTAATATAATAGAAGTTTAATAGCTTTTAAAATTTGTGGATATTTCTCATTTAAATTTTTAAAATTTAAACTAATCAACACTTGAACTTAGCAGTATAAATTATAAAATAAAAATATTCAATGTCAGAGTTACATTCACTTTAGAAATATAAAATTGTTTGTAATAAGAATTAATTTTTTTAAAAAAATATAAGAGAAAGCAATAAGACCTGTATTGATAGTTCATTCTATCCTGAGCTATTGCTTCATGGCAGATCTTGCCAGTATTTACCGTCTACATATGAGACCATTCAAAGAGTTTTTCAAATGCTGAAAATCATGTACTCCTTACACAACATGTATTCATCTCTGACACAAAACAGGTATTTGATATTCAGACTTCCATTTTTTTTTGGATGGGGAATGGGTTTTGAAATTTGATCAAATTTAGGAAAGAGATTATTGTTGGGTAAATTGTAAATGCTTTTTGAGCAAAATATGAGACTTAAGGGATGCTTCAAACATTTTTTTCTATCAAGAAAAGAAACACTTTCTTATTTGAACACAAAACAGAACAAAGGATAAAACAAGATTATTAAAGATAAAGATTGAAGTTATTAAAAATAAAACCTAACTTCTCTTTCAAAAGCAAATGATGAATATAGAGACAATTTGAGCAAGTTTGATACTTTTTTTCTTTTTATATCTTGAGTCCTAGAACCTATTAGCTAACGTGGTCAGCAAGATTAAATGATGGCAATTGGCTATGGGTCATCAGTATGATGTGGTTGCATTCAAAATCATTTCTGTAGTTGAGAATGCTGACTTCTAAATCAGTACTATTTTTTCCCCCCAATTTGCAAGCTTTAATAGAAATAAAGGGAAGAGTGCCTAACCTCTTGTAACAACCCCACACAAACACATCTGGGTCTATTATAATGGAAACAAATGAAAACCTGAATGGTTTCCACAAATTGAAAAACAGGATTTTTCATTAGAAGTAGGAAAAGGCATGATTAAGATACTATTATAAAATTTCCCATGTTTGTTTTATTTGCAATTATTCAGTACTTATATGTGCAGTTAAGACCAATTTTATTTATATTTGTTTCTTGAATATATTTTTTAACATTATTTTGCCTTCATAAATTTGAGCTAAACTTTTAAATAGATTCTTCTAAAGTCATGTAAACCATGATAGAAAAGTATGATTAATGATTTTGTGAACTGTTTTTATAGTTTTTACCTTTTAATAAATCAGGATAATAATTATGAATGGCCATTAAAATGTCACCTTAATATTAGGTCTTTTATGAGAATGTTTGCTTTGTAAATTCAAATCCCTCTGTGCTTTGGGAAAAATGGTGATTTCTCTAATTTTTTACATATTAAGTAATTCTCCTGATATGGAGCCCAGAAAAAAAAATAGGTATTTTTGATATTTCCAGAACAAAAACATTATTTTTTTAAACCAAGTCTACAGAAAGCAAAACTAATAGGCCATGAAATATGGATCTTTGGAATTGGGAATGTTGATTCTTAGGTTGAAATTCCAAAGAAAGATAACTGCTTCAGTAATTTCATCCTCCGTCTCCCACTCATTGAACTGTAGTATCTTAGCTAATATTTTGAAGCATTTTCCTTCTGAGTTATGCTAATTGGTAAACAAAATTCATTTTTAATTAATTTGACAGTTGTTAAATCAATGATTAAATATAAGACAATTCTAGGCAAAACAAAAAAACATTTTATAAATCCTAATTTCTTGATTTTTTCATATATTCATTCATCTAGCCTCATTTGACCATATCATGGTTTTGAATCTGGAGAATATATATTTTATGGATCCAGTATACCACATTCTTTGGTTTCTATAGCGAGTCAATAGGAACACATTTAACGATGGAATTTTGCAGCTAGAACTGAGTCTTTGCAAAAGAATTCAGCTCATTAAAATATCACTGTGAGAAACTTCCTTTTACAAGAATGAATAGTATTATCCAATTATTCATGTCTCTTCAGGCACCAATTTTAGAGCTATTCAAGTGGCTTGTATTGTGAGCTATATAAGCAATGTCCTCTCCTCAGAACTGAACAACAATCTCTTAAGAATGGACTGGCTGGGTGGGGTTTTATTTGGGCATTTGGCTTTCAGGGCAAGGGCCAATGATTTAGTCAATTCTTACACATATGTCTTTTTTGGGTATAATTGTGAGACTTGAAATTTTTAGTGCTTTATTTTCTTTATGATTAATACGCAATATTCATTGACCTCCCCTCATCAAGTAACATGCACAGTAGATGACAAACTATCTGTAGAAAGCCTGAACTAAATGCCATTGCTGCATCTTTGCAAATATTCTTTGTCTTATCTGAAAACTTTTTATTTTAAATGCTGAAATACATATTGCTTATTTTCTTTTACTCAAACCAAGTGTTCATTGCTTCACTGAAATTTCACTCTGTTCTTAAGCATATATGATTATCTTTCATATGCAGCGTTTTTTATTTTGATTATAATATATTCCTCTGTGCTATTGATATATTTTGTGTGTCTGTGTGTTTGCCATGTGGTAGAGCATCATTAAATGTGTGTTATCCCTTCTTCCTTTTTGTTAATCAGAAAGATGCTAATATTTACAATTAAACAATTAAACAGAGTAACTTGAGATGTCCTCTCACTTTTTAAGGAGATAAACCTTACCTTTTGTTTCCTTCAATATGATTAACTACAGGCATTTCAGGTATCTGCTGAGCAGAATAAAGGACTACCTTTTTATGTGAAGTAGTGGTCTAAAGATCAGAAATAATTACTCTGTACATTAGCCTTCATGGCCTGCTTGACCTACTTAATTAATTTTTTGCTAGCATAATAATAATAGATATATATTTGAAGATATGCTTCATCGTTAAGTATCTAATTGACCTCTAATTTTAAGAGCTGCACCTTCCATTTATTGTCTTTTGGAGATGGCTGGAGAAGCCAATAAAAAAACTGAGGATGGTCAGAAGCTGACTTCAGTCTCACATAGTCCCTC